GACACCCCACCTGTGTCCTCGCAGCCCCCTGCAGCACTCCCAGGCACGCGCTGGCGAGAGTCCAGGCCCGGATGTTCCCTCCGATGCCGCCTCTCCCAGGGCCAGTCCTGGGTGCGAGGTGGGGCGCAGCCTGGGGCACTGTGCCCCCCGCTTTCGGGCAGGATTGGGGCTCAGGAGGGCCCCTGAGTGTCCCAGGGCCTCTGTACGCCCTCCCTCCCTCCCTTCCTCCTCCAACTTACGAGAGCTGGGGTATAGGCCAGGGCTGTGGGGAGTGAGAGGGCTCTCCAGACACAGAGTGGGGAGCAGAAGAGGCAGAAGTGGAATCCACTGCTGAGGGGGCAGCAGGGAGACAGGAAAGTCTGCTGGGCCCTGGGGTCCCTCCCTGGCCGGGGACCGGACTCAGGCTGCAGTGGCTGCAACAGCTTCACAGAGCTGAGACTGACCCTTTGGGCCACTGGGAGGCCGCTCCCCCCCTTTTCTATAATATTCTTTCCTGAACAAAAGGTTTTCATTTCAGTGAAATGAAATGAGCGCAGTTTGTCTCTGGCTAGTCTCTGTCCACTGCTCCATGGTGGTCCGTGTCCTCTCTGTCAGCCTCCAGAAGCCCCCATGTCCCGAGCCACGTGGCCCTTTCCAACCCCGAAGCCGGAGAGGGGCCCAGCCCCCCACACCGCCTCCCCTTCTCCCACATTTCAAGAACTGGGCGCCGGGACCCTCGGGCTGCGCCTGCAACCCTGGGCCGAGTCCTGCTGTGGCCTCCTCAGCTGGCAGTGTCCACAGCAGGCGCGGCCCCCGGCCCCGGCCCCCATCCTGAGCCTTGCGTCAGCAGCTACTCTCACGGCCTTGCGACCCAGGGTAGAACTGGCCCCGTTGGGTCTGCACTCCTCGGTCCCCGGGGCGGGGCTGGTGGCACAGAGCGGCTGGGCAGAGAGTGAGGACGTCTGGGGTGGGCAGGCTTCCACCGTGAGGGCTGGGGGGCGGGTGCCTGGCAGCCAGGGCCTAGCCCCTCAGGTGCCAACACCTCACCTGGGCAGGGCCATCTGCGGTCACCTGAGGAGGGCCCAGTTCCCCGATGCCTGACACCCTCCTCAAGAAGAGACCCCAAAGAAGCGCGTGAGGCTGCAGCCAGCAGCTCATGGCCCGACACCGCCGCCCTGCCCGGCGCCCCTGCGGGCCGGCTGGGGTGGGGCCTGGGTCTGCTCGGAGCTCAGTTTCAGGTCGTGGATCAGCCTGGGTCATCTGGTGGCCCAGCTCTTGAAATGTGGGAGATGGGGAAAGGGCCATGCTGCTCGGGACATGGGGGCTTCTGGCTGACAGGGAGGACATGGACCTGCTGGGGGCCCAGGACACCAGGGAGCCTGCCAGTGAGGCCCACGTAGAGCTTCCGACCTCCACAACTGGACTGTGATGCGCCCCTGGTCTCGGTTTGAGGCAGTTTCAGACGCGTCCCAGCCTCCGTGAGAACCGGCCCAGGCATCACAGCGTTTGGGAAGGGGGAAGCCACCTGCACTGTGCCCAGTCGCCCTCCCCAGGGTTGGGCTCCCTCTGGCGGGGTCCCTGGCAGGACACCCCTCCCTGGCTGGCTCCTGGCCCCTGTGGGAAAGGCCTGAGATCCTGGCCAAGGCCGCTCCAGGACCAAGGGGCAGCCAGAGCAGCTCCCTCACGCCTGCCCAGGTCCCTCCCTGGGCTGGAACCTTTCTGGGGGCCCGGGAGCCCAGAGAGGGCTGCGGAATGGAAGGAGACCAGCTGGAGGCCTGACTCTGGAGGGGGTTAACCCTGAAGACGTGGGGTCCCCGCCCTTTGGGCTGGAGCTCTGGCCGCCTCCGTCTGGCCTGGGCCTCTCTGGGCTGGCGTCTCCGCGGCTTCCTCGCTCCTCTCTTGCGTGCGTGTCCTGGTGCTGTCGACTTCCCCAGGCCCACCCGGCTGCGTGCATTTCCTGGGCCCAGAGGCTTCACATGAAGGCATTCCTGCTCCCCGCCAAGCCGTCCCCCCCAGCACATGCTGGCACGCAGACGTAGGCCCTGGGCAGCTCCCCGCGCTACCAGCCTCAGGGCCGTCACCTCTGGCGTCTCCTCTTAAGAGGACACGACTCCTGGCTCTTCCTGGGGGCCAACGGGCTAAAGCACCGCATTACGAAGCCCTCCAAAGCCACTTGGGCACGCGTTTGATCCCCGGCCAGGGAGCTCACCCACAGGGCTCAGCAGACCTCCCCTGTCTCCCTGCTGCTCCCCTCAGCAGTGTGTTTCCATGGACCTGCCTGCTCTGCTCCCCGCTCTGTCTCTGGGGAATCCTCTCACCCTCTGCACCTCTGGCCTGGACCCCAGCTCTGTATGCATAAACAAATAAATCTAAAAAAAAAAAAAAAAGACAAATTAAAAACAGAAAAAAAAGGACGTGACTCCTTGGAAGTGGGGTCCACCCTCACCACAGAGATCCCATCTGCAGACCTTTCGTTATGCCTGCAAAACTGTTCTTCCAAGTAAGGCCCCTTTCGCGGTGTCAGGTGGACATGCGTTACGGAGCGGCCCAGGCCACCTCCTCTCATGACAAGGCTTTTAAAAAATGGAAGCATGAGTGACAGATAGCATTGCACATGAATGATGTTTCAGAAGGGCCTTAGAATCACTCTGGAAGCTCCCAGCGGGGAAGGCAGCTGTGCGTGCAGGCCCTGGCGCAGGACAGTCCCCAGAGCAGCCAGGGCCGGCCAGGGTGGATGGGACCTTGCTGAGATTAAAACCTTTTGTTCAGGAAAGGATAGTATCAAAAAGCGGGTACAAAAGAAGAAAAACCTACCCACGGAAGGGAGAAGCTATTTATACATCATGTCTGCAATAACGGCATATATGAAGAGCTGGAATACATAAAGAACTTCCATAATGCAGCAGCAAAAACGCAAACCGCTCACTTAAACATGGACAATGGATTTGAAGAGACATTTGTGCAAAGGAGATACATGCATGAAAAGCAGGCCCGTGACCCGCCTCCATGCTCAGCCTCCTTGGTGACCCAGAACGCAGGCGAAACTGCGGCCCAGGCCGCCCTGCGCCCCGGGACGGGCGGGCTCTAAGAGCAGGCCCTCGAAAACGGAGCGTGGGGCCTCCCTGGCGGCACAAGGGGCTCAGTCTCAGCACTGGGAAGCTGGCCGCAGCCCCTGCCGCGCGAGTCTGATCCCCGGCCAGGGAGGGGCCTCAGGGCGCAGCAGACCTCGCCTGTCTCCCCGCTGCCCCCTCAGCGGTGTCTCAGGGGAGCCATCTGGGGGCTCCTCTCACCCCGGCACCTCTGGCCTGTACCCCAGCTTTTGTATGCATAAATAAGACTAAAAAAAAAAAGCTAAGAACAGAGTCACAGGTGACCCCCCCATCCCAGTCCGAGGGACAACTTTCATTTCATTCTCTGAGAAACTTGAGAACATTCAAGACCCCATCAGCGCTGGGCAACAGCGTGGCCTCCGGCAGACACAGAGGCGGAATCCTGGGTGCCGGCAGCCCGGCAGGGCGCCTTGCGCAGAGTCCATCGGCGGCAGGACTCGGAATCCCACTCGGAGGAGGCGCCGGAGGCCACTCGGAGACAGAAAGCGGAATGGCGGGGGCAGAGCCGGCACTGTGCGCGCGCCACGTCCACGTGCATCTGAGTACGACTCTCCCCACCACAGCAGCTGACGCGGCCGAGTGGAGGCGGCTCTGCTGGTGAAGCCAGGGCCGAGGGGACGCGCTGCAGGACGCCTTGCAGTGGCCGGGCCGTAGTTCTCACAGAGGGGACACGCCCGTGATGGGGACGGGCCCCTGCGCTCACCTGACCGCGGGGTTTTCCTCGCAAAACGCTGGCACCAGTTGGATGCTCAGACAGAAGTCAGTGGCTGAATAAAGTCACATTAAAAAAAAAGATTTATCCATTCCCACATACAGAAGAGGCCAGAGGTGTGGGGTGACAGGACAGTAGACAGAGCCGGGAGCAGGACAGGAGGATCCACTGAGCCACCCGGCTGCGGGCGCAGCAGGAGACAGGAGGGGTCTGAGCGCCAGGGTCACTCCCTGGCGAGGGCTCTGGGCCGCAGGCTGGCCAGCTGGCCCGCAGACTCAACCCCCGCTCAGACCCCTCGGGGAGGCCCCGGCCCACTCTCTCCACCAGATGCAACGGGTAGCTGGCGCCTCTACCTGGCAGCACTGCCAGGACGCAGGCCCGGCACTTCCTGGCAAGGCAGCGCCTGAATGCCTGGCGCCGAGCCAGACCGAGGCTGGGGACACTGGCACGGCCTTGCCCAAGGGCCAACCGGAACTCTGCGCGGACGGCGCTGCCGCTTGCCCCCAGGCCTGCGGCTCGGCACAGGGCCTTGTGTCCAGGGCAGCCCTGGCCCAGGGGGCCGCCTCCCTCGTTCCCCCCCATGACGGGTTGGGGGGATGACTGTACCCCACGGGGGTCCCGAGCCTAAGCCGCGCCCACAGCAGCAAGCTCCGAAATCAGGGCGCCGGGGGGCCGCGACGCGGGCGGCTGCGGGTGTCACGCGGGTGGGTGCGAAGCCACCGGGCATCCTCACCCTCGCGAGACGCCTCTGACCCGTTGCTCCAGGGTCGCCCCAAGCCAGGGCGGGCAGGGGACACACCCATTCCGGGCACCCGAGCTCAGGTGCGAGCCCTGCGAGAAATGGCGGGTCCCTGGGGCGCGCAGCGGTCGCCAAGGGCTGGAAAGACTCGGGTGAGGCCAGGAGGCGCGGGGGTGCCCCCGGGGAAGCGGGCCCCTATCTGCTGCGCCTGGCACCTGGCTCCCGGGGGGCCTCCCGCGGGAGGGGAACATTGCTTGTAGCGTCCCTGCCCCGCCTCGTTCGGCGCGCCCGGTCGCCTTTCCGAGTGACCAAGCCGATGGCCAAGGGCAGCCGGCTCATCCAGGTGCAGGGGACGGCCTGTGGACACCACGGCCCTGAGCCCGAAGCGGGGCGCCGCGGTCCCCGGTGCCCCCTGACTAGGATCTCCGCCTGGGTGCGTAACGCTCGGTTCCCGGCAGTCCCCCTGAAGCTGTAGTGCCGCCAGGCTCCGGCCATCGCCTCCCAACATGGGGAGACAAAATGGCGGCCGTGCCGGATCCGGGAAGGGGACGCCAAGGCTACATACGGGTTCCGTGCCACAGTAGAACTACAACTCCCAGAATGCCGCAGGCGGGAGGCAGCGGGGAGCTCGAGCGTCGTTCGAGGTGCTCCTCCCCCAGTGGCAGAAACTCTCCAAATGACGTTGCCCGCTCCGGTCGAGTCCTTCGCTCTTCCTCGCATTGGCCGACGGGATTAGTAGTTCTTCGGCAACGGAGTAGTTCGGCTCTCGCATCCTCAGAAACTACACTTACCGTGGTGGATTTGGCGCCTGCGCACCGGTTGCGGGGTGGGGTGGGGGTGGTGGTGGCATACTACGGTTCCCGGCAGGCCTTGCGACGCAGGCGACTGCGTGCTGACGTCCTTGTTAGTCGTGCTGACGCGCAGCGCGGCCCAGGCGGGGTGCGAGTGGCGCAGTCGGAGCCCGCTGCGGCCCCTGAGGAAGCAAGGAGGCGTCGGTGTCGGCTGAGGCGGGTGGACCGGCGAGCCGGCGGCTCCAGGCCCCAGGGACTCGGGAGTTCGAGCAGCGGCAGCGGCAGGACCTCTCCCCCTCGGAGGCGGCGGGCGGAGGCGGCGGCGGGTGAGAGGGTGAGGGAGCGCGCGAGCCGGGTGGGGGAGGGGCGGC